TTTTTTTTTTTTTTTTTTTTTTACCCCTTTCAGAACTTTCTTAGGGCTGGAGTGGCCTCCTGGGCAGCATTTGTCAAAAGCGTTTGAAGGCAAATCCACTAGCCACAGCCAGCTGGGGCAAGGGAAAACAAATGGGGCAAGCAGCAGAGAGACTGAACAGCCTGAAAAGGAAGAGGCTGAGGAAGGAGGAATAAAGGTTCTGAAAGGCTCCCCCATAAACCAGAGACTAGAAGGCCACGTGTGCGCCCAGGGCTAACGCATGTTCAGGAAAGACCTGAGAAGACCACCGGCTTCCACCTCTGGCTGATGGTCAGGCTCCACATGATCAGGAAGTGAGGCTAAGGCAGGGTTGCAGGAGGCCTAGCTGAGTGTTGCAGGAGAACTCCAGCACAGAGCCAATCCGCAGAGAACAGGAGAGTTGTGTGTGGGGTTTTTGTTGCCATTGTTGTTTTGGCTCAATGCATTTAAGGAAATCTCTATAAATTCACCAGCTGACTGACCTCTATGCTAAAGGAACAGTGACTTCAGTGACCACATGCAACAAAATAAAACAGTCTTTACCAAAAAAACAGTTTAGGAAAGTCTTTAAACAAACAAACAACTACAATGCACAACAAGCAGCAACAGCAAACCCTGGGGAGGGGGAGAATGTTATTTCCAGACTTACTGTATTATAATGTTCAAAATGTCCAATTTTCAACAAAAGTGACAGGGCATGCAAAGAAACAAGAAAGCATGGTTCAGTCATGGGAAAAAAATAAATGAAGAAAAAATGTCCCTGAGTAATTTCAGACAAAAAGTTTAAATCAACCGTCTTAAATATGCTCTAAGAGCTACAGGAAATGGCGGACAAAAACTAAAAGCAACCAGGAGAATGGCATCTCAGCAGGTAGAGAACAGCAATAAAGAGAGAGAAAGTATAAAAAGGAACAAACAGAAATTCTGAAGTTGAAAAGTACAAAAACTGGCATGGACTCTACCTAGAAGGTTTCAACACCAAGAAAGAATCAGTGAACTTTCAGACTTTTAGATAGGCCAGTTGAGACGATCAAGTTTGAGGAACAAAATGAAAAAGGAATGATGAGAATAAACAGAGCCTCAGAGACCAGTGGGACACCATCAAACATATCAACATATGCAAAACAGGAGTCCCAGGAGCAGTTGAGAGAGAGAGGAATAGAGAGATTGGAGGGGGAATATTACACTTCCAAAAAGCCCAACGAACTCCAAGTAGCATAAACTCACAGAAGTACAGAGAAGTACACACTTAAATATATCATAATCAAGCTTAAGAATCAGTAAGAGAGCCCTGGCTGGTGTAGCTCAGTTGGTTGGAGTGTTGTCCCATAAACCAAGGGGTGGTGGGTTCCATTCCTAGTCAGGGCACAAACCCAGGTTGTGGGTTCGATTCCTGGTCAGGGCCCATGTGGAAGACAACTGATCGATGTTTCTCTCTCACATAGACCTCTCTTTCTCTACCTCTCTCTAAAATCAATTTAAAAAATTTTTTTAAATCAATAAGAGAATCTTAAAAGCATGAAGAGAAATAATTCATCACCTACAAGGGATTCTCATTAAGATTAACAGCTGATTTCTCATCAGACACCATGGAGATTAGTAGGTACTAAATAAAATATTCAAAGTGCTGAAAGAAAAGACTATGGACCAAGAATGCTATATCTAACAAAAGGATGCTTCAAAAAAGGAGACATTTCCCTGGCCAGCTGGGGTCAGTGGTTAGAGCATTGGCCCATGGACTAAAGGATCCTGGGTTCGATTGTGGCCAAGGGCACATACCTCAGTTGCAGACTTGATCCCGGCCCCAATTGGGATGCATGTGGGAGACAACCAATCGATATGTTTCTCTCACATCAATGTTTCTCTCTCTTTCTCTCTCTCCCCCGCCTCCCTTCCACTCTCTGAAAAGCAATGGAAAAAATATCCTAGGGTGAGGATTTAAAAAAAAAAAAAGGAGAGATGAAGATATTCCCAGATAAACAAAAACTGAGAAAATTCATTGCTAACAAACCTGTCCTACCAGAAATACTAAAGTAAGTCCTTCAGGCTGAAGTGAAAGGATATTAGAGAGTAACTTGAATTCACATGAAGAAATAAGAACATGGATAAAGATAACTACATGGGTATATGTAAAAAACAGCATAAATATATTTTTTCTCTGTAAATGTCTTTCTACTATTTGACTTAAAATATAACTGTATAGAGCAATAATTATAAATTTTCTCTTAAAATATAACTGTATAGAGCAATAATTATAAATTTTGTCTTAAGGCTNTGTCTTTCTACTATTTGACTTAAAATATAACTGTATAGAGCAATAATTATAAATTTTGTCTTAAGGCTGTACAATATATAAAGATACAATTTATATGACAATAACACCACAAAAGAAAAGGAGGGAACAGAGCTATATAGATGCAAAGTTTTTGTATCCTATTGAAATTAAGTTGCTATTATTCTGAACTAGTCTATGAACTATGTGATATTTATAGGTAAGTAACAATGCAAGTATTACTGTATTTTGGTTGGTACTCTTTTTTCCTATGTAATTTAAGAGACAAATGTATAAAGCAATAATTATATATCTATATTAATAAACACAATGTTCAAAGATGTAATTTGTGACAATAAAAACATGAAGGGAAAGGATGCAGCTGTATAGGAGCAGAGTTTTTATACACGATTGAGGCTAAGTTGATATTAATTCAAACTAGCTTGTTATAAATTTAATACATAAATTATAACCACCGAGGTAGCCATTAATAAAATAACTAAAAATATAGAGAAAAGGAAATGAGAAGGGAATCAAAACAATGCAGCACAAAATATTAATTAACCACAAAAAAAGCAGTAATAGAGTAACTGAGGAATAAAAACGACCTAAGATATACTGGAAACAAATAGGAAAATGGCAGAAATCCTTCCCTATCAGTAATTAGTTTAAATGTAAATGGGTTAAACTCTCAAATAGAAAGGCAGGTATTGGTAAAATGGATTAAAAAAACATAATCCAACTATGTATATGCTGTCTCA